TGGGCTGGCGCTTCCCGGCACCGTGCACAGCAGGTTGGGGCCCCCCAGCACCTCCCAGCCTGCCGGTGTCCCCATGGGCAAGACACTGACCCAGAAGCAGGCAGGCAGGCAGAGGGACCCTTTTGACTTTGTTCACAGACCAGAGCTAGGTGGTACCCTTGGGAGGGTGCCAAGAGAATGGCCGCCGGGGTGTGGTGGGGAGGGGAGCCAGCTGCTTCCCTCAGATCCTGGAGGCTGCAAAAGATGGCAGTGGATAGAGTCAGGAGACCTGGAGGGAGGACGTGCCCGAAGGTCTTCACGGGTGGTTGGAGCAGAAGCCGCCCCTGGAGAGGAGTTTTTCCTTCTGCCAGGATCACACCCTCAGGCCCCAAGTGGGAGGTCTCCAGAGCAGGAAGGCTTGGTGAGCCTGACCCTCAGTAGGGGAGGGATGGTGACTTCTGGTAGACATCTCAGAGAGGGCACCGGGAGCCATAGGTCAACCATACTGCTAGAAATTGGACTTGGAGATTTTGAGATCTGAGCCCCTTCCCTCCTTTGTGAAGGTGTTACCTGCTGTCCTCCCTGCAGGAGCAACGGGACTGCAAATTCTTAGTGTAGAGAGAGCCTGACCTGGAAGGGGCCAGGTCCACGTCCAGGCGTGGAAGAGAACAGAGCCCTGAGTGAGCCAGTCAGTGGGACAGCAAGGAGCAGCTGAGGTCTGGGACCTGTAGAGGGGGAAGGGACAGTGGACAGAGGGATGTTCCACCTGGATGAGCGCCAGAAGGGCCCTTCCCGTGCCATGCTGTGCTCCCGGACAAAGTCTTTTTCCCTCTTCTGTTCTCAGTTTCCTCATCTGTAAAGTGGGAGGGGCATGAGATGGCACTAGAAAGTGTACCCACTGGGGTAGCTGATTAAAAATACAGATTCCCAGATGTCCCTCAAGATTAATGAGTCAGATTCCCCTGGACTAGGGCCTGGGTATCTGGAATGCTACACAGTTCCCCCAGGCCCAGGGTTTTGGAAGCCAATGGGTTAGATAATTTTAAGGTTCCTCCCAGCCTTAAATTAGACCACAGCTCTAGAAGGAGCATTTTCAGAAGTGGCTGAAGGAAAATTGCAGGAGCTGGGAGTGGAAGGAGGCTTTGGACTTCGGGCAGAATCAGGAATCCTGCCACTTAGCAGCTATGTGACTGCAGACAAGTTACACAACCACTGTGAGCCTGTCTCCTGTGTAACATGGGGATGATAAACCATGCCCCCCGGGTTGCTGTGAAGACTTGGTGGGTCATATTTATGGAGTTGCTTTGTAGATTGCAAATCGCTGCCCACCTAAGAGGAGTGTCCCTTTCCACTCTATCCTGACCCCAGGTCAGCTCTGCAGTCTTCTGTGTGGTGACAGTACTGGATGGTATGGTAGCCAATGAGGATCTTACATGTGTGTGGAGTGTCGGCTCCGGGGATCCAACACTAGCTCAAGGCCAAACATGAGGCAGTGATCAGGAACAGTCTTTAAGAGCCTCACAGTAGTTGGGGCGGGTGAGCTCCCTGCTCCCTGAGATCCCAGCTCCTGGGGATCAGCCCCAGCCCTGAGTCCCCAGGCTCCTTTGGGAGTCAGACGTGCCTGGATCTAAATCCCAGCTCTGCCCTGACCAGCTCAGGGAGTCAGTCGGTAAATATTTATGCAGCTTCCATAGCCCAGGCCTTGGGGTCGGGATACAGTGGTAAACAAGACAGACGTGATCCCTGCCCCTGAAGAGCCCACACTCTTGGGGGAGACACACTAAACAGCCAGTCACACAAGTAATTGATTACAGCTGGGATAAATACTAGGCAGGTGAAATAGATAGGGCTCTGGGAGTACGTAGCAGAGACCAGAACGAGACCAGGATGGGGCAGCAGAGTTTTTCTGATGAAGGTGGAAGAAGGGTTAGGGAATGTCCCTCCCTCGCCATCCTTCTTGGGTCACACTTTGGGTCCGGAGAAAAAGAAAGAGCCTCATGGGAAAAGGCAGCGTTGATTGCTCTGTGTGACCCATCATTCATTTGTTCATTCATTCAGCGAGTGTTTTTGAAACCCTCCTGTGGGCCTTGTGCTATTCTGGGGGTTGGGAGGTACATACAGCTGTGAACAGGACAGATATCCCTGCCCTCATGGTGCTTGCCACCTTCCAGGGAATAGCTTCTGTAAAAACGGAGAGGAAACTCATACTGATCTCAGGTTTGAATGAGGGATTCAATGAGATGGTCCATATAAAGTGCTTGGCCCAGTGTTTGGCAACAGAGAGTGTGTCCCCAAACCCTAGGTCTTTTTTTTTTTTTTTTTGACTGACTCCCCAGTGTGATTGCTAATGCTCTGACCTCAGGCACTCTTCACTTTTAATTTTTTTGGGGTTTTGCTTTGTTTTTTGAGTTGTGGTCTCCCTCTGTCACCCAGGCTGGAATGCAGTGGCACAGTCATGGCTCACCACAGCCTCAAACCCCTGGGCTCAGGTGATCCTTCCGCCTCAGCCTTCCGAGTAGCTGGGACTACAGGCATGTGCCACCATGCCTGGCTATCTGGTGTATGTGTGTGTGTGTACATGTACAGACAAGTCTCATTATGTTACCTAGGCTGGCCTCGACTCCTGAGCTCAAGCCATCCTCCCACCTTGGCCTCCCAAAGTGCTGGGATTACAGGTGTAAGCCACCATACCCAGTCACTCTTCACTTTTTCTTTGCAACTCTTATCCCACTAATAATGAAGTCACTTATAATGATCTGATATTCAATGTCTGTTTCCCAGTCTTTGTGCAAAGTAGACACTCTATAACTAATGAGAGTATGAATGAATGATGTTACTTTATCTCTGAGCCTCATTTCTTCATCTGCAAAATGGGGTTATTAACAGCCCCTACCTCACAGGATTGGTATGAAGAAATAAATGAAATGATGCCTGGACAGCTTCCAGCCCAGTGCCTGGCGCGCAGTAGGTGCTCACTAAACCTGAGCTGCGGTGGTCCTTTCCAGGCGCTGTCTACGCCCCGAGGCCTGGGCTCAGGCCGAAGTTGCTCCACAGCACCCCCAGCTGACAGCCAGCAACTGGCAGAGTCCCCAGGCACGGGGGTCCTCTCTTTCCCAGGTCAGCCGGGTATGTGCATTTGGAGGGAGCAGGAGGGAACTAGGGATGGTACCTGGAGGAAGCTGGGCCCGTGGGCAGGGGTTGAGCCACGGCCACCAGACCATTTGGGGAATTCAGATCTGTTGCCTGTCTTGTTGTCCACAGAGATCTCCAGTGTGACAGCCCAGGCGGCAGAGCCGAGGGTGAGTGGCCAGGTTCTCCTAGAGCCTGGGGGATGGGAGCAGGAAGGTGGGAAGCCATGCCCTTGACAGGACTTCCTAGCCCTCTTCTTCTTGATCACCTTGCCCTACCGATGGGCTTCCTTCCTAAAGGGGTCTTGTTCTCCCTGAGCGCATAGCCAGGTTCTGGAAGGGGGTGAGCTGTCAATCAGTGAAACTGGGACCCATGAGGGGTTTGTTGTGCATGTGGTGGCTTGGGGAAGTCTGGGAGTCAGCAAGGGGATTGAACTTGGGGAGGGGACTGGAGCTTGGTAAGGGGACTGGAGCTTGGTAAGGGGAATGAGACCTTGGGAGGGGTCCAGGAGCTCGTTGAGGATGTGGGAAGCTGAGGAGGATGTGGGTGTTCAGTGAGGGACCTCCTACCTGTCCTGCCTGGCAGGTCCTGGTCCCGGCTTCTCGCACCCTCATGTCAGCCCCGGCCCCGCCCGGCGGCCCGCGGAGGACAAGGTCAGGATGCGTGTGAAGCCCCAGGGCCTGGTGGTGACTTCCAGTGCCGTGTGCAGCTCTCCTGACTACCTCCGGGAGCCCAAGTACTACCCCGGCG